TGAGTGTGTGTGTGTGTGTGTGTGTGTGTGTGTGTGCTTGTGTATGTGTGTGTATGCGTGTGTGTGTGTGTGTGTGTGTGTGTGTGTGTGTGTGTGTGTGTGTGTGTGTGTGTGTGTGTGTGTGTGTGTGTGCGCGTGTGTGTTTAAGAAGCGTACACCCATCAAAAGCACAAACACATTTTCAAGTTTCTTTGATTTCATAATATTTTGCCAAAACTGATAGTTCATGACACAATTTTTCTCTGTCTACGGCCGGGTATTCATTCCCACCTGGGTGAAGTGAGAAAAATTCGTGTAAAGTGCCTTTCCCAAGGACAAAACGTCGAGCTTGCGGCTCGAACCCGCGAACCCGCAATTTCACGATTATGAGTTGGGTAGTCTAACCACTAGGCCACCGACGCCCCCGAAGCATTATTTGTTCATGCCCCATTGCCTCTGCGCCGTGCAGAAGCTATCATACATGTATAATTCAACGTGAAAAAAATCTACTCTGAGTGAAAGAATATTTAAAACGGAATGAATACGTTGATACGTTTTAGAGACACCCCTTTACAATTGCACACCTGTTTTGATGATCCTCTATAGAAGAAACTCTCGCAGTGCGTGTATTTTGATAATTACAAAATTTGAAGGGCGCTCTTCTAACTCGTGTTTGTCGTAATACATGTTATTATTATGTCATAGCGCTCTGATCGTGCCCAAACTTGGCATATAAGCAAAATCGGGACAAAAAGACTGGCTTTCTTGATTCTGGTTCGAAAGCGACGCCTTTCCAGTGGAAAGGAAAGAACGTGGCTTTTTTTTTTTGGTCATCGAACTCAGGATTATTGGGAAGGGTGTCCACTTCGTTGAGAAACTGGTGTCAGAGAAAGACGAAGAGGGTGACTTTGACGTGTCTTCTCTTAGAAAATCTAAAAAGATTGCAATACTTTCATATATTCACGTATGAAAGTTTTGATCATTGTAAAATGAGAACAGTTCTTCCTTCTCCGATTCGAGGCCCTACAAGAGAGATCAAACAGCTCCTACAAGTTTGCTGTTGAGACGAAATATGGAAACCCATGGCACCCGTCAACGTCGGTGACCTAGTGGTTAGGCGACCGGACTCGTAATCGTGAGGTTGCAGGTTTGGGGGATCGAGCTGAGGGCCCGACGTTGTGTCCTTGGGAAAGGCACATTACACGAATTTTCTTCACTTCACCCAGGTGGGAATGGGTATCCGGCCATAGAAAGCGAAAGATCTTGTCAGTATGTTAGTGTTTTAGCGCCTATGAAATGGCTGCTTGCACTGTATGCTTCCCAGGAAGTTCAGTTTTTTTCAGAATGCTCTCTGCTAACATTATAGTGTAGATTGTAAAGCACATAGAGCTTGCTGTTGAGCTGCGGGGATTTGTCCTATACAAAAGCTATCTATTAGTAGAATTTATTTAATTAAAGTCCCCCCCCCCCACCCAGTGCGTTTGAATTTCATCATTGAAAGATCAAACAAAGAGCGACACTTGAAGCTCTTGTTTAAAATAAAAAGAACATTCTGATTTACTGTTTTAGTTCAACATATTTAATTTCCCTCAGCTGTATTGAGTTGGTTGTGATTATAGTGGATGGTTGTCGGGTGCTCTGCTGTCTTTCTGCCACACCCCTGATCTTCTGGTAGGAAAGATCTACACCTAGCCTTCTCGGACAAGGGCAAACGATCTTGGAGGGCCCGTGTGCACCTTGCGCATGTTAAAGATCCCTTGGTGGTCTAAAATCGATAAGCGTAGGCTTCGCCGCCACCCAGGCAAAATTCAAAATTTCCTACCAACTGAAAATATTAGGGGTGTCCCGCGCGCTCATATGACCCTATGCAGTTGCGAGCGCCATAAAACACTTACCCCAAAAGAATAATTATATATACACA